GGGGGTATGGCCCCTGCCCACCTCAGAGTAGGGTGGTCGCCTCCTGCAGCTACTCCCCCACCTTCAATTCCGGGCAGGTGGTGCACCCCGCCCCTACCAGGCTGAAAGCCAGCTTTGTGGGCAGGTGAACAAAGTTCTAGCTCTCCAACTGCCACAGGAGCAGGGTGGGGAGGGGCGCCTGGGAAGCAGGGGGGAGCCACAAAGGCGCAAGGAGCATCGCACTTCCCTCTTCTTTTTTAATGTATACATTCAGTGCCATCAGTCTTCATGTGAGTGCTACTAAAGCAGGACTCTACAAATTCTACTGTGGTTTCATTTTCATACAGTTCAGAATCGTTTCTAATTTTTTTCTCTTTTCATTAGTTCTTTGACCCAGGGGATATTTCGATGTGTTCTGTAGTTCGCAAATAGTTGAGTGTTTTCCAGAGATATTTTTGTTCTTGATTTCTGATTTGATTGCTTTGTGGTCAGGGGACACACTTTTATGACTTCAGGCCTCTTGACTTCTTCCTTTTATTAAGAGTTATTTTATGACCCAGAGTATCGTCTTTTTTGGTAAGTGTTCCATGGATCCTTGGGAAGAATAGTGGCGGTCAAGTCTACTGTGTCCTTGCTGATGTTGTGCCTATTGAAATATCAGACTATAATTGTGAATTTGCCTATTTCTCTTTTCGGTTCTATCAATTTTTGCTTCAGGTACTTTGAAGCTATTAACGGATCCATGAACATTTAAGATTGCTCTTAATTGACCCTTTTATGATTATACAATGACCTGTTGTTTATTGCTGGTAATAATTTTTTGTTTTGGAACTGTGTTGTCTGTTATTCATATAGCCACTCTAGCTCAGCCTTCTTTGGTCAAGTGTTAGTGTGCTATGTCATATTTCTGTCTTTTGAACAAATTTCTGTCTTGACATTTTAAGTGCATTTTGTATAGGTAGCATATAGCCGAGTCTTCCGTTTTTATCCATTCTGACACTCTGCGTCTTAGTTGAGGCTTTTAGACCGTTTTCATTTGCTGTGATTATTGACAGAGTTGATTTGAATCTGTCATCATGCTGTTTGATTTGCATTTGTCCTATCTGCCCCTTGTTCCTGTTCTCTCTTTTTCCACTTTCTTTTAATCGAGTCATTTTTATGATTCAGTGTTATCCATTTATTATTTATTTATTTATTCACTTATTCACTTATTTGTTTAGCTTCCTAGCTAGAACTTTTCAGTTTGGCTATTGTGGTGGTTGGTTTAGGTTTTATAGTCTGGGGGTTAAACATCACACAGTCTAGCTTCCATTAACGTTATACCACATCGTATATAGTTTAGGAAAATTACAATAGTTGACTTCCATCTCTTCTTTCCTAGACAGATCCTTCCTGGGTCGGTGGGATTATAGTTTTCATGAAGTTTAGGAAGATTTGGGCCATTTTTTTTCCTCTCCCTTTCCCCTGCCTCTTTGGGCAATTGTGTATTTCCCCCTTGAAGTTGTCTCCCAGGTTGCCAATGTTAAACTTCAGTCTTTTGTTTTGTGATGTCTCATATGTGTTTATTCCTGTCCATCGTATTGTTCATGTCTAACATAATTTACATGTCTGTAAGTGCTATTTGGTTTTTAAAACAATAGCTTCTATGCCTCTAGTTATCTTTTCATGCTTTGTTTGGAGATATCGTTAGGTTACTTACAAACAGATGGATCCTTTAGTGTTGCTATTACGAATTGTTGGATGAATCCAGAGTGGTGATCAGCCTAAAGCAAATTATGAGTTTTTCTATCCTAGCTAATGTGAATAGATACTGTCCTTTGTGCTGTGGGAGCACCAGGCAGTGTTTCCTCTATCTTTTCAGATTTTTTTCCCTTGATGACTTCCTTCCATGTATGCATTGGTTGTTACTCTGCTGAGTAGCCAAAGGGGACCCTCTGCAGATGTCCAGGGTTCCTTCTGTGTTCTGCTTTCTCCTCTCCTGGATGCTGACCTGTCATCTCTATGTGCCTTGAATTCACCAGACTCTCAGTTTCGTCACCTCGACTCAAGGAGTCTGGAGGAGTCTATTTAAGTCATTTATGTCTCCTGGGTCGTAGCCTGAAAACTCTCCCAAGGCAGTGAGCTTGGGCATGTGTTAGGCTAACATGTTTTGTTTTCAGGGATCATTGTCCTTCATTGTCTGAAGTTCTGTGTCTTGAAAATCATGTTAAAATTGTAATTTGTCTGTTTTGGTTTTGCCTGCTTCAGGTAGGAAGATCAATCAGTACGTGTTACTCCATGTTGGCCAGAAGCAGGTTACAGTGGAACTTCGGCACATGCTCTAGACTGTCGAGAGTGCTTGTCTTCCTCCTTTGCTTAGTTGCCTCCTGCTCATCCTTCATTCCTCAGTAGAGTTACCTCTTCCTCAGGGAAATCTATCTTTCTTGGGCCCAATCTGGATCTAGATATGATCACAGAACTCTGTTTTCTGATAGGAACTATCTGAATTTAGACTTATCATTTGAGTTGTCTTTCTCCTTCACCAAACTTTAAGCTAATCGCGAACCAGGGGCCTTCTCTAGTGTATCTGTAGAGCTGAGTATAATGTCTTACATTGAAGGTATATATTTATTCGATGTGTGAATGAGTGAATTGAAGATGCACCGTCCTGTATATGTAAGAAGTACTCATATATTTTATTTCTGTTTCTGTTTCTTCTCTGATGCAGATTCTGCTGGCTTCTTAAAAATCCAAAATATACTTGTTTCTTATGAAAGATTAAGGAAACTTAACAAAAATCACTGTAAACAACTTACGGGAAAAATTAAAAAAATGGAAAAAACGGTTAGTGCACTACAAAGCGAGCTACAAGAAGCCAAAGACGTGACATCATGGTTAGAGCATCAAAAAGTGGAATGGGAACATGAAGTATGCAGTTTGAGGTATAGCATCTCGGTTTTAAAGAAATATTTGAACTCTTTACTTTTGTATGACAGATGTGTAGGGGCAGTTTTGTAACTGCAAACTTAACGTTATAGGAGTTTCCAGGAAAGAAAACTTCTTTAGTGTTGTGAAGTGTGAGATTCTTGGAAATAACACAGCACGTTCTTAACAGCGAATACTTCTAATAATTTAATGTCTATTCCAAATCGCAATTTTAATGGCCATGGAAAAGTCCACCATAGTCCAAGAAACATCATTATTTAACAGATTGAATTCTGCTTGTTTTTCATCTTTCTGTATTTTAATTAGTGCTGTCAAGAATGTCTTTTATATAAATCTGTTCCTACATTTCTGGTTACTTGCAATAAATTCTTCAATATAATATAGTTTGGTTAAAGTATAAAAAATTTTAAAAAGGTCTTTGATCCATATTTTTAAATTGCTCTCAGGAAAGCTTATATTAATTTCTGTACCTACCAACAGAGTATAAAATGGTCATTTTTCTCAAGACAGTAAAATTCCCCCAAATTGATTCCATTTGATTCTTAACATGCAGGGGTTAAAAGGTAAAGTGGGGGTGCCTGGGTGGCTCAGTTGGTTAAGCATCTGGCTTCGGCTCAGGGGATGATCTCGTGAGTTTGAGCCCGGCTTTGGGTGAGCTCAAGCCCTGCTTTGGGTGAGCACGAACCCCACTTCGGGTGAGCCCCTCTTCTCTCTCTCTCTGTCTCTCCCTCGCTCTCTGCCCCTCGTGGGATTCTGTCTCTCTTTCTCTCTCTCTGCCCTCGTTCACTTGTGTCATCTCTCCCTCAATAAAAAATTTAAACAAAGGAAAATGGGGGTGCCTGGGTGGCTCAGTCATTCAAGCGTCTGACTTTGGCTCAGGTCATGATCTCAGGGTTCGTGAGTTCGAGCCCCGCATTGAGGTCTCTGCTGTCAGTGCAGAGCCCACTTCGGATTTTCTGTCTCCCTCTCTCTCTCTCTCTCTCTGCCCCTCCTTTGTTTGCATGGGCTCTCCCTTTCTCTCTCAAAAATGAATAAACATTTTTTTAAAAAGTGATATGGAAAGTGATTGCTGCTAAGTTTTTCCAACATCTCTGTCATAGGTAGATAAAATTAATTCAAAAGTGTATGCTGAAAGCTTATATTACTCTCTATTGTGTACTTAATTGATATGTATCCTGTGTTGTTCTAGAAGGGATTTTTAAGTGATTCATAAAGTAGGTAATCATCAACAATGTAAGTTGCAAGTGTTGTGGAAGAAGAAACAAAAAGTATAGGGCAACAGATATTAGATTTGCTAGTCTAGTCTTGGATGACAGTAATCTGCACGTGTATGTTGTGTAAACAACATCCGCATATGCTCTCTGACACTGCACATCATTTTGGGAGGTACCTGTAATGTTTCGTCAAGTGGAAATTGTATTTCCAGTGAATTGATAAACTTGTTTCTAAACAGCAACTTCTCTTTTTAATGAGTAACTGAATTATCTGTCCTGTGGAGGAATAATTATACCTGTGGGAAAAGGGGTAATTTTCAACTCTCACTTTCTTGAATACTTTCAAACTTCTTTCCTACAACATCTACCAGAGTTATTACTGACTAAAAGTAACTAAGTTGCATAACGCTTTGTCCTTGCTTCTTTTCAACGGTATATATGTTTTGGAAGAGATTGAAGTGACAAATTAAAAACATGAGCCCTAGAAAGAAAAAAAAAAACAAAACTTGAGAACATAGAAATTTCATTTGGACAGTAAGCCAACATATGTGGAACCAGATCATAAGAGGAACTTTTTATTTCTAACAAAACAAATTTTAAAATAAGCACATTAAATTGCAGATTTACTTTAAAACAAGAGGAAGAAAAAAGAAGAAATGCTGATATGTTGTATGAAAAAATTAGGGAGAAGTTAAGAAGAATAGAAGACCAATATCAGAAAGAAGTTGAAACAAAACAAGAATTTGAACTCGCTCTTAGAACACAAAACATGGAATTGAAGGCCGCAAAAGATAATTTGAATCAGGTAAATTACTTTTTGAGAAAAAATTGTATATTTCCATCAATACTATATAGTGTATTATACATATATTTTATGGTATCCCTTTGATTCAATATATATTATTTAGGTTTAAAATAAATTAAAACATGGGATCATGTTCCTTGGAACATTTGTTTAAAGCTTTCCTCTTCAGCTTTTGAATTTTTTTTTTAATGGTATGAGACCAAAATCGTGATGAAATGTATCTCCAGGTTGTAGAAAAGCGCAGTGACAGTGGCAACTTTCTCCAGAACAGAAGGCCAGAGTATTACAAGATGGAAGTGTAAACAATCACTTTTACAAGCAAAAGGTGCTAGAAATGGCTCATAAGAAAACGAATTCTGGGGGCGCCTGGGTGGCACAGTCGGTTAAGCGTCCGACTTCAGCCAGGTCATGATCTCACGGTCCGTGAGTTCGAGCCCCGCGTCGGGCTCTGGGCTGATGGCTCAGAGCCTGGAGCCTGTTTCCGATTCTGTGTCTCCCTCTCTCCCCCGTTCATGCTCTGTCTCTCTCTGTCCCAAAAATAAATAAACGTTGAAAAAAAAAATTAAAAAAAAAAAAAGAAAACGAATTCTGAAATATCTTCTTTAGTTATTTTGAAGTACATGTGTGTATGTATTTGTATACATTCTATTTTTAAATTATTTTTACTTCTTCTCCATGTCTGTATATATAAATTTTAAAAACCCAACACTGTACATCACGGAAACTATAGAGGGTTTTAAGAGCACATATATTTTTGGGGAGGGGCATGGGGGACGGTGGCATTTTTGTTTCATCGGATAAAATAATATTCTTGATTAAATGCATTTGTCTGCGACAACTTGTGACATTCATAATGTCCTCATCCAAAGGAGAGGCTTGTATTACTTTCTGTAGGAATCGATGAGCTTTCCCTAATCTCAAAACTATTGCTACTAGCAACATGTGTTTTGGTTTTGAACAGTTACTTCACTGCCTTGATATATTAATAGATCAGTTGAACACTTCTGCTAATGGACAGGAGGACGAGTATAGCCAGTTCCCAGGTCATATTTTCGGTATCAAGTCTCCTACTTTTGAGAAAAGTAACAGTTTGCTTCAAGTAGCATCCTCTTTCATTACAAGGAACTTTTGAAAACAATGGTATGCTACGGTATACACTTAATGACAATTTATTGATAGGTATTTTATTCCTAATAAAATAGTGGAGTGTCTTTCCCCTCTTTTATATTTATTACTATTTTCAACATGAAGAGGAAATACAAGGTATTGCAGCAGTAATTTCATGATTTTCTAAGAGATGTATAAATTTCACCTTATTTCCTATCAGCAGTTTGAAATCCAAGACTTCTTTCATATTTGTGTATTTACACTAGAGAAGTAGCAGTGGTTGGTGCAAGAGCACTAGTTGTGGAGTGAGAAGACCTGGGGAGAGTCCTGCAGCTCACCGTTTTAATGTCTCCATTCTAGAATTGTGATAACCAAATGAGTTCTTTGATATATGGAGAAGTATTTATATTATAATACATTGCCTAGATTTCTCAGTTATCAATAGATCTATTCTTATAACTGACTATAGAAATGTTAGCAAAGTAGATATCTATGAAATGTTCTCGGAAAGAAAAGCATTTTAGGAAATTTAGTCTGTCCAAGTAGATACAGAGCTAACGATTTTACTGTGGGGTAGCTGTGTTTTTGATATCTACTGTAAACTCAATTTTTAAGTGTAGTCAGAGTTATTAATCTTTTATTTCAGGCCTTCTGGTTTGTTGTAAATCAGAGAAAGGCTTTTCCAATTCTGAGATTCTGAAAACTTCTCACGAATTCTTTTTTCTTGCATGCCTTCATTATCTTCAGTTAAAGTTCTGAACTTTTGGGAACTTATGCTTGTATAAAATTTGAGATTTGGAGCCAGCTTCATTTTTTTCCAGTTGGATATTCACTTACTGTAATCTTTCTTTCTTTCTTTCTTTCTTTCTTTCTTTCTTTCTTTCTTCTTTCTATATTTCTTTATTCATTAGAGAGAGAGAGAGAGAACGCAAGCAGGGGAGGGGCAGGGAGAGGGAGAGCGAGAATCTTGAGCAGGCTCCTGACTGTCAGCACAGAGCCTGATGTGGGGCTTAAACCCACAGAATGTGAGATCATTCCCTGAGCCAAAATCAAGAGTCAGACACTTAACCAACTGAGCCACCCTGGCACCTCCTGTAACCTTTTCGTTGTTTAAACATAGATTATGCTTTAATTTCAAAGAAAAGCATGATAATGTCATTTTATTGAATGCGATCTGAAAATGTCCTTTGTTTTACTTAGCTTTCTGATAGTCGTGAGAAAATACAAGATCTGTTGCATAAAAACCACATGTTGCAGGATGAAATCGCCATGCTAAGACTGGAAAGAGACACCATAAAAAATCAGAACCAGAGAAAGGAAACAAAATATTGTGAAGACATTGAAAGTGTAAAGGAAAAGAATGACAATCTTCAAAAGACCATAAAGCAGAATGAGGAAACATTATCAAAAACAATATTCCAATATAGTGGACAGCTTAATGTTCTGACTGCTGAGATTATGATGCTAAAGTCTAAACTGGAGAATGAAAAACAAAATAAAGAGAGCCTGGAAGCAGAAGTTGAATCATACCATGCTAGACTGGCTACTGCTGTACACAATCATGATCAGAGTCAGACATCAAGAAGAGACCTAGAAGTTGCTTTCCAGAGAGCAAGAGATGAAGATGGTCACTTACAGGACCAGATGAATTTTGATGTATCTAAACTACAAGATAACAATGAAGTTCTTTCTTGGCAACTTTCTCAAGATGAAAGTAAATTCAATGCCCTGGAAATTGAGCTCCATCACACAAAAGATGCTCTCAGAGAAAAGACTTTAGTTTTAGAATGTGAACAAAGGGACCTAAGCCAAACACAATGCCAGAAGATGGAAATTGAACACATGTATCAGAAGGAACAAAGTAAAGTGAATAAATACATTGCAAAGCAGGAATCCTTCGAGGAAAGGTTATCTCAACTACAAAGTGAAAATATGTTGCTTAGACAGCAACTAGATGCTGCTCACAACCAAGCTGACAGTGAAGAAAAGCTAGTGATTAATATGCAAGACCAGTTTCAGAATATCCAAAAATACCTTAAAGCTAAATGTGAAGAACAAGGTCTTATGCTGGGAGAAAGAAATAAAGAGTTAATCGATGAATGTAAACATTTAAAAGAAAGAATGTATAAGTATAAAAATGAGAAAGGAAAATTAGAAGTAAGTATCCAGAAAGATAACAATTTTTCAGATTTCCAGAAAGAAAATTCAGGTAATATTTGATTATGGCTGACTTGTGAATCTAGTTGAATATTAAAAAAAAAAAGACTATAAATCAACAAAAAGCATAACTCGTATGCAGCAAATAAAAATTAGACCTGAGAGGTGTTTTGATTTGAGTACAGATACTATGTCACCTATGAAACTTTAAGAGGTTAAGTTATAAACTGTTACTAGATGATAGTCTTATACTGCTATAATAATATTTTTCTTAAGTTTCTTTTGAGAGAGAGTCGGAGAGAGAACATGAGCTGGGGAGGGGCAGAGAGAGAGAGAATGCCAAGGAGGCTCTGCACTGCCAGCGTGGAGCCCGACACAGGACTCTCAAAGTCAGGAGCTGTGAGATTCATGACCTGAGCCAAAATCAAGAGTTGCTTGCTTAACCGAGAAAGCCACCCAGGCCCCCCCCTACAATAATAATTGTAATCTTTGCCACCGCATTTTATTACTGTGGTGAGCTGGTAAATGAAAATGCTCAAAGGTAAAATGAGTATTTTGAAACTTAGATCCAATTAATTGAGTTAACTGGACAGTCACTTCAGATTTCCCAGATGAAATGAAGTATAGGTGCTCTTTCTGGTAGTACTTTTCCTTTGGTAGCTTTTTATACATTTTAAGTTGGTATGATTTTATTTTTATTCACATAAATTTCAATTTTCAGTCTCAAATCATGTGTTCCTACAACCTCTTAATTCTTTAAAGGTATCTACTTTACACTACATCATAATTTGGGACAACTGTGGTGAGTGTCAGGAAAGCCATGTTTGAGTAATCTTCCCACTGCTGTTTATAACTTATTTTAAATATTTTTACAAATAATTTGCTCATTTCGAAGCTCAGTTACTGTCATGTGGGCATAAGTTTGTCCAGTACAAAGAGAATTGTATCTCTCTGTGATTTATTAATTTGGCATTGGATCTCCATTTTCAGACCAAGGAGGGGTTGCAGGATTCTTGTTTAGCAGGAATGGAGTGAGTAGGGGAGAGAGCTGTAGGAGCTGAGGTCAGGGGAGGGGGGTGGAAGCAGGGGCCATTGGAATGACTTGACTTTACTCCGAGATAGGAGTCTATTAGAAGGATAAGAGCAGAGGAGTGGATATGTGAGGAATTCTGACGGTAACTTAAGCCTGCAATAAAAAAAGAGAGAAAACCTTTCATAATATAGAATTTGTGACTGCTGTGCCCACTATGTCCCCATTTCTTTTTGAGACTTCTGTAGGTTATGAAGCTTTGCAAATTCACCAGTGGAGAATGGATAGTGAGGCTGAATTATCTAAGTGACATCATCCTGACTAGGCAGGGAGATAACACCTTTTGTTCTTTAACTGAATTCAGTGAACAGGAATGTGTATGTGTTGCTAAAAGAAGGTGAATTGGGGCGCCTGGGTGGCTTGGTCGCTAGGCGTCCGACTTCGGCTCAGGCCATGATTTCACGGTCCGTGATTTTGAGCCCCGCGTCGGGCTCTGTGCTGACGGCTCAGAGCCTGGAGCCTGTTTCAGATTCGGTGTCTCCCTCTCTCTCTGCCCCTCCCCTGTTCATGCACTGTCTCTCTCTGTCTCAAGAATAAATAAACGATAAAAAAAAAATTAAAAAAAATAAAAGAAGGTGAATTGATGTATGTGGTGATATTTCTCAAAGTACGCATGTTAGAGTTGTCTATTATTAACATAATTAAATAATAAGATGATTTAGAAAATCAGTAACAGAAATGTCTTATTAGGTAGTTGTGAGAGAACTTCAACAAAAACTGGCTGATACTCTGAAGAAACAGTCTATGTCACACGCTTCCCCAGAGGTTATATCACATCTTCCTCTGGAAGATGAGACACGGGATCTCAAGAAGAAATTAAGTCAAATCAGAAGTCAAGTATGTAGTAAATGTAACCTGTCAACAGTTAACTTATAGCTGGTTAAATAATATAAGGTGTTTTAGGATACAAACTTCCATGGACCGCTTTCTTTTGTATTTTCATTATAATTAATTGATTATGATTTTAGTATCTTTACAATACATTTATTTCGTAAACCCTGACTTTCATTCTACTGTTTGTGTTATACGTTTTTTTCTTGTAATAGTTAGGAAAGTTGAGGCTTTTGTCTCCTTCCTCACAGAAATTGAGAAACTTTTTTCTTTCTTAATGTAAAACTTATTTTACAGTTGATTTATTTATTTTGAGAGAGAAAGAGCAAGAGAGAGTGTGTGCGTGCATGTTAACAGGGGAGGGGCAGAGAGAGGAGAGAGGGAGAATCGCAAGCAGCCTCCATGCTGTCAGTGTAGAGCCAACGTGGGCTCAGTCTCATGAACCGTGAGATCATGACCTGAGCTGAAAGCAAGAATTGGACGCTTAACTGACGTAGCCACCCAGGTGCCCCAAGAGACTTTTGTCCCCTGCTAAACAATGTTTTTTAATGATATCTCTATTACCACGATGAGGCAAGCTGGATACAATCAGAAGATAATGTTTAATGGAATGTTTCAGATAATTGTCTTAGTTCTCATCTTCACTTTCGGGAAGAATCTGTATTGATTTCAGGATGACTTGTACAGAAAGATCACTTAACAAACCACTTGAACTTAGGCATTTCCTTCATTTTCTCTGCCTTTTAGAGGTCCCATAAAAGTCACCCATTTGACACCCATTTGACAGTTCACTGTCTCTGTGTACGCTCGTGCAACCATCACTGCCATCAAGTAGAATGCTTTCCTGACCCTGAAAGGAAACCCGTACCCGTTGCCCCCAGCCTCAGGCAACCACCAGTCTACTACTTGGTCTCTCACTGGAGTTGCCTCTTGTGAATATTTCATATAAATGGAGTCACACAACGTGTGGTCCCTTGGGACTAGCTAGCTTCACTTAATGTTTTCCGGGTTCATCTGTGTTGGTTACAGCTTATATCAGTGCTTCATTTCTTTTTATTGTCAAACAGTACTCCATTGTGGGCTAAGGCCCTTGTTCATTCATCAGTTGATGGACCTTTGGGTTGTGTCCACTTTTTGCCTGTTAATACTGCTGCTTATGAACATTCACGTAGTTCTTGTGTGGACACCTGTTTTTAATGTCTCTGCCATCAGATTTTATCCTCCGAGTTAATTGGGTTGATTTTACCATCTCTCCGCCGTTACTCATGCTGTCTTTTTAGTTTCTGTTCCTCTTGCCTAAACCTATGTTATTCAGACTTGTCTCACAGTCTCCTTTCCTATGAACTTCCTCTGACTGTTGTAACTCCCATTAGCCTTAACTCTCTTGACACTTGTCATCTAGCCTGCGCAGAACAATATAGTTCTTTATTTGACGTTGTTTTTATTTTTTTAATGACAGGTAATTTCACCTTCCTAAGTATAAATTTAAGGGATAATAATATTTGATACGTGTGGTACTTATCCTTGTATAAATTGAAAATATTTTAACTTAACAGTTTTTCCAATAAAATTAAGTGCTTTATGCCGTATCAATAAATTCTTCTTGGAAACATTGGTATAACAAAGCTTTTATTCTAAATGTATGCTAAAAAATGAAATACAAAATTGAGGGGTGCCTGGCTGTCTCCAGTCTTATCAGAGTCTGCCTTTGGCTCAGGTCATGATCTCCACGTTCTTGAGACTGAGCCCTGCATCGGACTCTCTGCTGTCAGCAGAGCCTGTGTTGGATCCGTTGTGTCCCTCACGTTCTGCGTCACTCAGACTCATGCTATCAAAAAATAAATGTTAAAATGTGTGTATATCTATACACACACACACACTTATATAAATAAAACTATTAATGAAAGCACTTAATCAAATAGAGGAGAAATGTTCAATCAAATGTTTGGGTTTTTTTACCTCTCACTATGAAAAAGCTCTCTAAATTTGTCTTTCTTCTTTACACAGCCAGAACTGGGATTTACAGATTTATAACACTTTACCAACTGCAAAGATCTGGGGACAGCTTTTCTGATATGCTTTTACCACAAAGCCTTAATCTCTTCATCAGAGTACATGTTAAAGCAGCCTAATGTAAACAGTATGGACGTGAAATGATTGAGGAACTTTAGTTTAGCAAGACTCGATTATTTCCATGTCAGTGGCTTTCCCTTGCCTCTGATGGTCATGTAAAGGATCTACTACTCAGTCAAGGAGGTGCTCTTTGTACCTTGGTCTGTGAGCATTGTCCACTGAGTGGTATAGAGAGGAAGTAAGTTAAAAGGATTATAAATGGAAAAAGTACTGTTGGCTAGTGGCATTGGCGAAAGTTGTGTGAAGTACTGAGGAGAGATTCTGGGCCTCATGCTCCCCATTTGCTGCCACTTGCGGTGGAATGAAGAATAACTTCAGTATAATTTGTATAGGGGAACACTTGTATTGGCAGGCCACCAGCCTAAACTATCACATTGTATTGGAATGCAAAATACAGCAGCAGTAATCATGCTAAATGCAGACGCTTAGAGCTGACTATGTGCCACGTACCCTTCTAAGTTGTTCATCTCTTATTTCCTAATTTAATCTTCCCAACATCCCAGTGGGGTAGATACTATTTATTTATTTTGAGATAACTTTTTTAAGGACCTTTATTTTGAGAGAGAGAGAGAGAGAGAGAGAGAGAGATTGTGGGGAAGGGCATGTAGGGAGAGAGAGAAAAGGGGAGAGAGGGGGGGGAGAGGGAGAGAGAATCCCAAGCAAGCTCCTCGCTGTCCATGCAGAGCTCGATGTGGGGCTCAATTACATGACCCTGAGATCATGTCCTGAGCTGACATCAAGAGCCAGACACTGAACCGACTGAGCCACTCAGGTGTCCCAGGAGGTGCTATTATTACCTTCATTTTACAGATGCAGAGACTGAGACATGGAAGTTTTAGGTAGTGTGCTCAAGGTCATACAGCTCATAATGAGCAGAACTGGGAATTCAGACCCAGGCATTCTGGCCCCTACTAGGATATTGCTTCTCAAATTCTTCCATGAAATATCTTGTTGTCACTGAAAACAGCATGTTCAGTTTTATAATCATGAAAATAGCAACGTCATTCGCCTATGTGAATATGTAAAATCATAGTTGATGTGGTGCTTGGAATATGAAAATAGAAATGTTTACCATAAGGTAAATTCCTATATTTCCTCCATTTGACCAATAGATACATTTGTACGTTTATATGATCATATATAATTTAAAAACATTAACAATGTTATGTTTTGTAGGAGATTAAGGTTGGTAAGCTATTCTGTCAGAGTATAGAAACATTTCGTTTTGTCGGCCATAGTCTCTGTTGTAGCAGCTCAACTCTCCTGTTATGACCTCAAAGTAGCCATCAATCAGCATGTAGAGGAGAGTGTGGCTGGCTCCAAAAAGATTTTAGTTACAGTGGCACTTGGGCGGCTTAGTTGTTTGAGCGTCCTGACTCTTAATTTCCACTCAGGTCATGATCCCAAACCCCACATCATGAGACCGGTCATGAGACCGGTCATGAGATGGAGCCCCACATCAGGCTTCACCCTGAGCTTGCAGCCTGCTTACCATTTTCTCTGTCTCTCCCTCTGCCTCTCTTCCCCAGTTCTGCATGCTCTCTCTCTGTCTCTCTCTCAAGTCAAGTAAAAAAAAAAAAAAAAGTTTAGTTACAGAAAAGGGTGATGGTGTTCTACTAGATTTTCAGTAGTTAAAATTATTTTTTTCTGTTTCTTTATTTTTTTTTTCAACGTTTTTATTTATTTTTGGGACAGAGAGAGACAGAGCATGAACGGGGGAGGGGCGGAGAGAGAGGGAGACACAGAATTGGAAACAGGCTCCAGGTTCCGAGCTGTCAGCACAGAGCCCGATGCGGGGCTCGAACCCACGAACAGTGAGATCATGACCTGAGCCCAAGTCAGAAGCTTAACTGACTGAGCCACCCAGGCACCCCGAACATGTCCCTTTGAACGTGATTATTATCCATTTCTATGTCGTCTTTAAAGAACTAATCCATTCTTTTGTCCGTTTTTATATTGGATTGTCTTTTCATTATTGGAAGAGTTACTTAAATAGCCCACATACAAATCCCTTAGCAGACATGGGATTTTCAGGTATTTTCTCCTATTTAGTCACTTGCCTTTTCATGTTCTTGATGGTGATATTTGAAGCATAGAAGTTTTTAATTTTGATGAAGTAAACTTAATCTGCTTTTGTCTTTTGGTGTCATGTCTAAGAAATCATTGCCAAATCCAGTCACAAACATATACACGTCAGCTTTTGTCTAAGAGGTTTATCATTTTAGCTCTTAGATTTTAAGTTAATTTTTTATATATGCTATGGGGTAGAGGTCTGATTTTATTACTTTGCATGTGGCTATCCATTTGTCCCAGTACCGTTTGTTACAAAGACTATTCTCATTCCATTTAATTGTCTGGCACCCTTGTGTAAAATCAGTTCACTATAATGTGAGAGTTTATTTTTAGATTCTCAATGTTAATACATTGACCTATATGTCTGTCCTTATGCCAGTACTGTATCAAATTTTATGAAAACTTTTTCCTAGTTATCTTGCAAATTACCAGTCACTTATGTAATAATAAAATGTCAATGTAGTAGAACTTAACTTTGCTCCTATAGAGATTTTTGCTTCCTGAAGGACCCTTTCGCCAGCCTATGCCTTGCTGACTCCGTGACTCGATGTGAAGTCAGGCTCAAAAAGATAAAATGCTCTTTCTTTAGTGTGTTCAGACTTTTTTTTATTTTTTTTAGAGCATACACAAGCAGGATGTGGGTGTGTGTGTGTGGGAGAGAGAGAGAGAGAGAGAGAAGAGAGAGAAGTTTTAGCAGGCTTTATACTTAGTGTGGAGGCTGACAGGGGTCTTGATCCCATGACCCTGGGATCATGACCTGAGAGGTTGAGGCTCAACTGACTGAGCCACCCATGTTCCCCGCCTGTGCAAATTTTAGTCTCTCAGTCAGTGCTGCCCACTTTCATTGCCATCAAATCTTGGCCATAGGATGTCTTGACTCAGTCTACCGTTTACTTCATTATATTTTATTCTCTCATTATAATGCATAGACTCACCCATACTTTTCACCATATAGGAAGGAAAAGATTAACTCTGGGGTATTCCTCTTTCCTGTTAAGCAATCTTGCTAATCCATCATCTTGCAATTCACAATGAGATCCTCTTCTGACCTGGTTCTTGTGTGTAACACTGGTGTTAATCCTGTTCTTGGCACAGATCCTACATTCTTGGAAAACACAGTAGCCTGTATCGCTTTCTTTCACTTAAATAGAAAGATATGCATAGCTATGCGTTATAGCTCAGCGTATAATTAATGGAATAAACATTACATCATTCAAATAATACAGCTGTACAAAGTGAGGTAGTATTAAGTTGATTTATCAGAGACAAGTAGTAGATTGGTAATTTGAATGACAAAAAATTTTTGAAGCCAACTTGGATGATATGGAGAAGCATTGTGGGACAACACAAAGACGAAATGGTCTTACCTTCCCCCACAAACAAGGTTGGAGTAAGGTAAAGGAGAATGTGCAGTTAATTGAAGTCGTGCTAAAGGACAGTACATTTGTTGTGCTACTGAGAAGATGAACAATGATTTCATAACATTCTCTTTATTTCCTCACTGAGGGAAGGAGAATGAAGATTGAGTATTCAATGGATTAAAAAATACTCAAAGCTGCGTATTTCCTTTAATTGAAATCAGATCAAAGGCCCAATTTTGGTTATCAGATTGACTCTTTCTGGTTTCTCAACTTTTGTGCTTCAAATCATATGTCTCTGTGCTTCTACCTTAACTTGAGGGGAAATTCTAAAGAGGCATTCCTGCCTACTTGTAAGAATTGTTGTAATTGAAGGGAAACTTAGGAAACTATCTTAGACACAGGAAGATGGCAGAGGAGTAGGAGGACTCTAGGCTTGCCTCATCCCACGAATACAACTAGATAACAATCAGCTCACCCTGAATACCCCAGAAATCGACCTGAAGACTGACAGAACAAACTCCACAACAAAAGGGAGAGAAGAGGCCACATCAAAGAAGGTCCTTGATGCAGAAATGTCGTCTAGAAGAGAAACAGATCGTGGCTGCTGCAGAGGGGAGGGAGTTGAGGTTGTGGATAAGGGTGAGAGAGTGGAATGCACAGGGGAACACACAAAGAGAACATTTCCCCATACCCACTGGCTTGGAAAACAAGAGGGGCTGCATTGCATGAGTTCTTGCAACCAGTAGTGCTTAAAGTCTGGAGTTTTAAAGGGCATCCGGTTTAGCTGGGTTGCAGCCCTGAGGTACTGCACTGCTCTTGGACAGAGGGCAGGCAAACAACGTGGGAGCATACAGCCTGGATACAGTGATCTGAAGAGTGCCTGGGGCACACAGTGGGGAGATTATTTGCTCGTCTCAGAGCACGTCCCTCAGAGGCAAAGTTCAGAGAGACCTGTGTGTAGGAACAAAGCCACTGGCTGCCACCATCTCCTTCTCCTGCCCCTCACCACCAACATAAAGCCACCTGCAGGAAGCAGTGCATTGGTAACACTGGCTACCTAACTTGCTTACACCAAGCACCACCGCCTTGCACTCTGGTGGAACTACCCTTCTCAATCACTCTTGCTTGAGTTCTAGCACAGCAGACCCCTCCCCCAGAAGACCAGGACAAACGCTTGCCCACACCACATCTCCCAACCAGAGAGTTTCCTAGTTAAAACTCGCTACATTCAGGCCAGGGACCAAACACACACCAGACCAGGCAAGGAGAGCCTCTGCAGACGACTGGCCTGAAGGATAGCATAGCCAGAACACAACAGCAGGACACATGCAGCACACACTGGTGACACTCCCTGAAGTGCTAGACCCTAGGCATTACATGACGTCTTTTTCCTACGTCCATTACTTTGGGAGCAGGTGACATAGTTAACTGGCTTCTCTAACACACAGAAGCTGGCAGATACCTAGACAAAGTGAAAACACAGAGGCATTTATCCCAAATGAAAGAACAGGATAAGGCCATGGCCAGAGACCGAAATGGGACAGATGTAAATAACACGCCTAATGGAGAATTTAAAACCATGATCATAAGGATATTCAGTGGACTTGAGAAAAGAATGGAAGACATCAGCGAGACCCTTACCACAGACATAAAAGAGTTCAAGGATCAGAGACGAAGAGTGCAGTAAAATGAACAGCAAGCTGAGAGAAGCAGAGGAACAAATTAATGACCTAGAAGACAAAGTAATGATAAACAATGAAGCTGAAGAAGACAAAGAAGAATTATCCAATGCAAGAATAGACTTAAGGAACTCGGTGACTCCGTCAAATGTAAAAACATTCATATGATAGGAGTCCCAGAAGAAGAAGACAGAGAGAATGGGACAGATAATTGATTTGAAGACACAATAACTGAAAAATTCCCTAATGTGGAGAAGAAAACAGACATCGAGATCCAGGAGACACAGAGAACTTCTATCAAAATCAACACCCAAGACATGTTGTAATTAAATTTGCAAAATATACTGCTAACAACTTTTTTTTTAGTGTTTTGTTCTTTTGTTTTGTTTTGTTTTTGCTTTTGATTTTTCTGTGACAGAATGCAGACACAAGCAGGGGAGGGGCAGAGAGAGAGAGAGAGAGGATCCCAAGCACTCTCTGTGCAGAGCCCACTGGAGGCTTGAACCCACGAACTGCGAAGTCACGACTTGAGCTAAGATCAAGTCATGCTTAACCGACTGAGCCACGCAGGCGCCCCACTGCTACAAATCTTAAAAGCAGCAAAACAAGTCATTAACTTCCAAGGAGAAACCCACAAGGCTAGCAGGAGATTTTTCAACAGAAACTTTGCAAGGCATAAGGAAAAGGCATGATATATTCAAAGTGCTGAATGAGAAAAATCTGCAGCCAAATATACTCTATCGAGTAAGGCTATCATTCATAATAGAAGGAGAGATAAAGAATTTCTCAAACAATAATGGAAGGAGTTTGTGACTACTAAATCAGCCTGTAAGAAATATTATCGGGGACTCTGAGTGGAAAGGAGAGATCAAAAGTGACAGTATAAAGGTAGAAAATGTAAAAGCAGTAAAAATGTATATTTCTGTAAAAAAAATCAGTCAAGGAATGCCCCAAAACAGGATATACAATAAAATACCTTATCTAAACCATGGGGAGGAGAAAAAAAAATGAGTTCTAACTTCATTGACCATCAACTTAATATAGACTGCTACACGCAGAGCAGGTGATATACAAATTAATGCTTATCATATACCAAAACCCACTAATAAACATGTAAAGAATAAAGAGAAAGAAATCCAAATATATCATTAAAGCAAATTAGAAAGACATCAAGGCGAGAAAAACAATAAAGGATTTGAGAAAATCTCCAGAAACAACCGCAAAACAAGTAGTAAAATGACAATAAATACATACCTGTCAATAATTACTTTGTATATAAATGGAATAAACACTCCAACCAAAAGACCTAGGGTGACAGGGTGGATCAAAAAACACGACCCATCTGTATGCTGCCTATAAAAAACTCATTTTAGACATAAAGACACCTGCAGATTAAAAGTGAGGGGATGCTTGCACTGTGGGTAATGCAACCTGATGCAGCCGCTCTGGAAAATAGTGTGGAGGTTCCTCAAAACAATTGAAAATAGAACTACCCTATGACCCCTCAATAGCACTACTGGGGATTTATGCAAAGGATACAGGAGTGCTGATTCATAGGGGCACATGTACTCCAATGTCTATAGCAGTGCTTTCAACAATAGCCAAATTGTGGAAAGAGCCTAAATGCCCATCAACTGATGAATGGATAAAGAGATGTGGTTTACATACACACTGGAATACTACCTGGCAAGGAGAAAGAGTGAAATCATGCTATCTGTTGCAATGTGGATGGAACTGGAAGATAATATGCTACATGAAATAAGTCACAGAAAGACAGATATCATATGTTGTCGCTCATATGTGGAATTTGAGAAACTTAACAGAAGACCGTGGGGGAAGGGAAGGGGAAAAATAGTTACAAACAGAGAAGGAGACGGGCAAACCATAAGAGACTCTTGAATGCAGAGAACAAATAGAGGGTTGATGGGGGGGGCGGTGGCTGAGAAAGGAAAGTGGGTGGTGGGCATTGAGGAGGGCACTTGTTGGGATGAGCCCTGGGTGTTGTCTATAAGTGATGAACCACAGGAATCTACCCCCAAAACCAAGAGCACACTGTACACGCTGTATGTTAGCCTAGTTGACAATAAATTCTATTTAAAAAAAATTAAAACGAGGGGATGGAGAAAAAATTTATCACGTTAAAAGAAAATGTAGCGATACTTTTGTTAGACAAAAAGAGTCCTTAAAACAAACACTGTGGGGCACCTGGGTGCCTCAGTCATTTGAGCGACCGACTAGGTCTTGGCTCAGGTCATGATCTTATGGCTGGTGGCTTTGAGCCCCATGTTGGGCTCCAGGCTGACAGCATGGATGCTGCTTGAAATTTTCTCACCCCCTTTCTATGTCCCTCCCCTACTCTGTCTCTCTCAAAATAAATAAACTTAACCAAAAACAAAGACTGTAGCAAGAGCCAAAGAATGCTACTATATCATAATAAAGGGTACAATGCAATAGGAAGATGTAACAATTGCAAATATTTATGTACCCACCATGAGAGCACTCAAATACATAAAACAATAACCAACATAAAAGAACTAATTGATAATAATACAGTAATAGGGCAATTTAACACCCCATTTACATCAATAGATCTTAATTTAAAAAATCACCAAAAAATACATCTTAACAAAAAATCACCAAAGAAACAGTGGCTTTGAGCCATACAGAGAAAGACAGTTACAATATGTGTTCACTCTTATGTGGATCCTGAGAAACTTAACAGGAACCCATGGGCGAGGGGAAGGAAAAAAAAAAAAAAGAGGTTAGAGTGGGAGAGAGCCAAAGCATAAGACACTCTTAAAAACTGAGAACGAACTGAGGGCTGATGGGGGGTGGGAGGGAGCGGAGGGTGGGTGATGGGTATTGAGGAGGGCACCTGTTGGGATGGGCACTGGGTGTTGTATGGAAACCAATGTGACAATAAATTTCATATATTAAAAAAAAAAAAAGAAAAAAAAGAAACAATGGCTTTGAATGGCAGAGCGGACCAGATTGGACTTAAGAGATTTTTTCAGAACGTTCCATCCTAAAACAGAATACACGTTGTTTTCAAGTGTACATGGAATATTCTCAAGAATGGATCACAAACAAAAAACAGGCCTTAATTATTAAAAAACAATACATGCAGGTTAAATAACGTGCTACTACACTGGAATGGGTTAAGCAGGAAATACAAGAAGAAATTTTAAAAAATACATGTATACAAATGGAAATGAGAAAACAATGGTCTGAAACCTTTGAGATGCTGCAAAAGTAGTCCTAAGAGGGAAGTACAAAGCAATATAAGCCTACTTCAAGAAGCAAGAAAAGTTTCAAACAACCTAACTTTACCCCTAAAGGAGCTAGAAAAAGAACAACAAATGAAGCCTGAAGCCAGCAGAAGAAAGCAAGTAATAATGATCAGAGCAGGGGGCCCTTGGGTGGCTTCACTGGTTAAGTGTCTGACTCTCTATTTTGGCTCAGGTCATGATCTCACAGTAGTGAGATCGAGCCCCGTGTTAGGCTCTGTGCTGGCAGCATGGAACCTGTCTGGGAGTCTCTCTCTCTCCCTCTCTCTCTCTCTCTCTCTCTGCCCATCCCCCACTCATGTGTGGTCTCTCTCAAAATAAAATTTAAAAAAGAGATTAAAGCAGAAATGAATGATAGACAAACAAAAAACAGATAAAACTAGAACAGATCAATGAAACCTCGAGCTGGTTCTTTGTAAAAATTAATAAAACTGATAAGGTGTTAGCCAGAGTAATCAACAAGAAAATAGAAAAGACCGAAATAAATAAAACCACAAATGTGAGAGTAGAAATAAGAACCAACACCACAGAGATACAAACATTTATGAGAGAATATTATGAAAAAATGTATGCCAACAAATTGGACAACTTAGAAGAAATGAATAAATTCCTAGAAACGTATAACTTACCAAACTAAACAAGAAGAAATAGAAAATTTGAAAAAAAAAAATAACCAGCAAGGAAACTGAATCAGGAATCAAAAAACTCTCAACAAACACAAGTCTAGGAGCAGATGACTTCAGATGTAAATTTTAACATGTAAAGAAGAGCTAATACCAAAAAAAGAAGAAAGAAAGAAAGAAAGAAAGAAAGAAAGAAAGAAAGAAAGAAAGAAAGAAAGAAAAGAAAAAGTTTAACCTGTCCTTTTCAAATTGTTCCAGAAAAACATAAAAGGAAGGGAAATTTCCAAATTCATTCCATGCCAGCTTTACCCTGATACCAAAACCAGATAAAGACACCACAAAGAGAATTACAGGCCAGCATCTCTGATGAACATGCAAAATTCTTCAAGAAAATAAGCAAACTGAATCCAACAGTACATTAAAAAATCATTCACCAGGAGCAGGGGCAGCTGGGTGGCTTCGTCAGGTAAGCAGCCAACTTCAGCTCAGGTTATGATCTCAAGGCCCTTCGGTTTGAGCCCAGTTTCAGGCTCTGTTGACAGCTTGGACCCTGGAGCCTATTTCAGTTTCTGTGTTTCCCTCTCTCTCTGTCCCTCCCTTGCTTGTGCTCTTTCTCAAAAATAAATAAACATTAAAAAAAAATCGTTCACTATAACCAAATGGGATTTATCCCTGGTGTGCAGGGGTAGTTCAATATTTGCAAATCAATGAATGTGATACCTCATATTAATTTTCAAAACAGCATAAAATCATATTCCAATAGATGCAGAAAAAGAATTTGACAAACTATAACAAACTATAACATCCATTCATGATGGATTTTTTTTTATTTTATTTATTTATTTTTATTTTTTTTTCAATATATGAAATTTATTGTCAAAATGGTTTCCATACAACACCCAGTGCTCATCCCAAAAGGTGCCCTCCCCAATACCCATCACCCACCCTCCCCTTCCTCCCACCCCCCATCAACCCTCAGTTTGTTCTCAGTTTTTAAGAGTGTCTCATGTTTGGCTTTCTCCCAGTCTAACCTCTTTTTTTTTTATTTTTCCTTCCCCTCCCCCATGGGTTTCTGTCAAGTTTCTCAGGATCCACATAAGAGTGAACACATATGGTATCTGTCTTTCTCTGTATGGCTTATTTCACTTAGCATCACACTCTCCAGTTCCATCCACGTTGCCACAAAGGGCCATATTTCGTTCTTTCTCATTGCCCTGTGTACTCCATTGTGTATATAAACCAAAATTTCTTTATCCATTCATCAGTTGATGGACATTTAGGCTCTTCCCATAATTTGGCTATTGTTGAGAGTGCTGCTATAAACATTGGGGTACAAGTGCCCCTATGCATCAGCACTCCTGTATCCCTTGGGTAAATTCCTAGCAGTGCTATTGCTGGGTCATAGGGTAGGTCTATTTTTAATTTTCTGAGGAACCTCCACACTGTTTTCCAGAGTGGCTGCACTAATTTGCATTCCCACCAACAGTGCAAGAGGCTTCCCGTTTCTCCACATCCTATCCAGCATCTATAGTGTCCTGATTTGTTCATTTTGGCCACTCTGACTGGCGTGAGGTGATATCTGAGTGTGGTTTTGATTTGTATTTCCCTGATAAGGAGCGACATTGACCACCTTTTCATGTGCCTGTTGGCCATCCGGATGTCTTCTTGAGAGAAGTGTCTATTCATGTTTTCTGGTCATTTCTTCACTGGGTTATTTGTTTTTCGGGTGTGGAGTTTGGTGAGCTCTTTATAGATTTTGGATACTAGCCTTTTGTCCGATATGTCATTTGCAAATATCTTTTCCCATTCCGCTGGTTGCCTTTTCATTTTGTTGGTTGTTTCCTTTGCTGTGCAGAAGCTTTTTATCTTCATAAGGTCCCAGTAATTCATTTTTGCTTTTAATTCCCTTGC